TAAATGAAATTGGGGTCCAGTTTGATCTACGAAACCTGCTTTGCAATTGTCGGAAGAACTGAAATGTGTTAGACTTTGGGCAAGAGCCTCCGTGACCTGTGGTGATGATGTAACTAAAGCATTGTTGATTCGGAGAGCTGGATGAGAAGTAGACGGACGCTTATCAGAAAGTTGGACTGTGAGCGTTGAGATCGCCGAGGATGAGAAAAGGGTCTTGAAATCGAGCAACGAGTTGGTCAAGTTGCCATAAGAGCTCCGCATATAAGTTGGTGTAATGTATACTGAGCATATATCGACGGTACGGCCATGCAGCGGAACTGAGCATGCAATAGCCTGAAGACGTGTGTTAAAAGCGAGTGGCGTGTGTGTTAATTATTGACTAATGTACAGCGTCACCCCACCTTGGCGAAGCTCACCGTCCGTGGTCTTACAGCGATGTAACGAGTAATTTGACATTTTAATGTTATATGTGTCGGTGGGACGAAACCATGTTTCCTGTACAGTTATGATGATTGGAAGTAATGCGGCGAAAAGTGCTTTCATTTTAGACCATTTTGAAATGAGACCGCGACAATTCCACTGTAAAATGAAACACATTTAATGATGAAGGTTGACCACCATTCCCACCGGTCGATGGGGATAACCCGAACAAAACAGACCGAGCCCGTCCCATCGCCACCCTCACCGATGGACGGGACCGGCGATCTTCGTTCGAGCGTGTTTCGACAGGTATTGTGGTGGTGGTGGGGGGGGGGGGGGGGGGGTGGGGTGGGGAGTGGAGGTAACGTTCGTGTGGTGGCCAGAGGGAACGAGCCGCCGGCTGTTCATAGCCGGAGGGCTGGAACCCTGGACGGCCTGAACCGCACCTGTATCACGCACAGCCGGCGAGCTGGAACGCCGACCAGCCTGAGGACGGGGTGCACGGGCGCCTGCGCATCCGAGCGCCTAGCCAGGGGCGACTCAACGGCGTTTTTTGGCTGGGTCTGCGCAGTTGACTCAGGTGAGACCGAACGGCGGAGAGTTGAGAAGCTTCAAAGAGGCAGATGGGTAATGAAGTCTGTCTGTGTTCCACATGTGGCCATCGTGGCTTTTGCTACTTGTGCACATGTTTTGCTAGGCTGCGACGACATTTTGGATATATTAAAGCGCCGTGCCTTGGGGTACGACACATCCGTCTTTGTCTTTTCAGAACAAATTCATTTTCCTTTTTTCCATGTGGGACACTGAGGAGAGTTGGTGGCGTGATCAGCACTTCCACAGCTCAGGCATTTCTGGGGTGATGTGCAGGCAGAGCCCTCTTGAGGAGTCTCGCCGTACTTCAAGCATCTGGCACGCTGTTTGCAGTACTTGCTGCCGCGTCCGAACTGTTGGCATTTGAACCGTTGGCGCTTGAAACACCTGACTGGATTTGGAATGAATGCTCTTAATTTATAACGAAGGTAACCAGCGGTGAGCGTCTCTGGAAGTCGAGTAGTAGCAAAGGTGATAACGAGCAGGCTGGTGTCACGACGCTGACCATCTCTAAAAGTTGTCAGCCGTCGGACATGGCAAACTTGCTCGTCTCTGAGCTCCGCCAGGATCTCGTCCTCCGTCATGAAATGGAGCTCAGGCGCGGAGATGGTGCCTTTGCTGGTGTTTCTGGCATGGTGCAGTGAGACTTTCACTTGTTTGCCACAAAATTCAGTTGTTTTGATAGGGCCTTGGTTCGTGCGCGAGTGCTTGTTTTAATGATGAGTGGTCCGTTTGCCGGCGGTTCAATATTGAGTTCGCATGGACCGCAGATAGCCTTGACTTGTTTTCATAGCCAGAAAACGTTGACCCTCCGGAAAGGCACGTTCTTATCACAAGGCTGAACAATAACGTGATAGCCGAGAGGATCCAGAATAAGTTGAGGGCAGGCGAACCCTGGTTGTTGTCGAGCGAGGGTCAGCATCAGAGCCAGCAGGCACGGGGTGGTCGAAGACGGGCGAGGGTCAGAACTGGGGACGTTGGACGGAGACGGCTGCTGTCCAGACACCGCGGCAGAAGTGCATGAACCAATGGAATGGGCTTGGGGTGCGCGACGGTCATCAGGCGAAGTGGTAGCCAAAGCGGGGCTGGCGGCACCTCCGTCGCTATATCCAGGGAATGATCGATGTCAGAGGTCGAATTCGAATCCGTGTCAGTGTCGTCCTTCTTACGCTTGCTCCGCTTCCCCACACTGGGGTAGCGAGAAGAGAACAACACAAATTAAGCGAATAGGTGTGTTTGCACTAGTTCCAAACTAGTGCGAACGGGAAAGCGATAAGAAAGACGATGCAGAAAAGGACTCCCTGCCTGGGGGCCGCAAAATGAGCAAACTACCTGCTGAGGTCTTGCCAGACGGGTATATGGCCACCGAGCGGGTCGACGAGAGCCTCTGATCATCGACATGGCTCGGTTTGACTACATCACTTGACAGCAGCAAACCTCAGCCTCGTTATGAAGTCAATATGCCATTAGCGGGCAAACAATAGCTATACTAGCAATCGTTCTGTGGTAGGCATATCATTCATATCATTCCCCAACATTAACAGTGCAACGAAGCTGTGGAGGCACACACAGCTTTCACGCGACACACAATGCCACACACACAAGCACACAACACTCGTTGGCGCCACCTATTGGTGACCCACACGACGAAGTGTTGACCTCGTGTCGCTACAGGAGCACTACCGGCCGCCAGTGTGAGCCGCTCATCAGCCGACATAACCTTGGTAATCAAAGCACCTTTCACGGCACATTCCTAACTGCCACCGCCCCGCGCTGAGCGTGAAGGGCGCACGCGGCGCCCTAGGAAAGTATCTATAAATAGTTCTCGTCTAGCTGGTTCTTGGGAGCATACCTGTCACTGTCGAAGGAGACGAAAGGCGTCGTTTTATGCGCGTGTGTGCGTGTGCGTGTGCGTGTGATCATGCGAGAGCATGTGCTTATACATGCATGTGTGTGTGTGTGGACGTAAGGAACTTGAATTGTCACAAATCAGACGTGCAGACGAAAAGCGTCGTTTTATGCGCCTGTGTGCGTGTGCGTGTGCGTGTGCGTGTGCATGTGCTTATGCGTGTGCATGTGCTTATACATGCATGTGCGCGTGTGCGCATAAGAAACTTGAATTGCCACAAAACAACACAATCGTGCGCGTTACCTGACCCATGGAATGACAAGCGGGGCGCATCATAGGGGGAGGAAATCTGGCCAGACCACTGCCCTGCACAAGCCCCAGGTGGACTCGAAGCTGCAGGGCCGTAGCTCGTCCTCACAGGGGCGTATCTAGCCCGGAGTTTTGGGAGGGGGGGGGGCATCCTTTCGTCGTCAGCTGGCTGGTGTGGGATCCGGGGTTCAGTGCATGGTGCCTTTCGCGAGAACCTAGTAGGGACACCATTCAAAACAAAACAAAAAAAAAACAACGAAATCCTTTTGAATCTTAAACAGAAGTTAAAACAAAACAGTTAAAACAGTTGAAGTTAAAACAGCCGGTAAGTAGACGAAACTTTTATGAAGTTCTGCGAATATTTTGGGGTAGCCAAAACATACTCTCAGAGGTTTTGGGGGGCCATGCCGCCGTGCCCCCCCCCCCTCCCCCCAGGATCCGCCTATGCGTCCTCAGTGCTTTGTAGAGTAGACAAATAGTGCTGGTGGTAAGCGACCGGTCATATTTGACACACGCAGTGCACCACGCATAACAACAAGATTAAGCACACATATCTACGCCTACAATACACGAAGTAAGGGCCACGTCGCCACAAACTACACACTATTCTGATAAAATATGAATTGCTTTGGAAAACTTGGCGATTGTTCAGGTGCGCATACACGACATTACACATACACCGTACAGTGTTAGAGGTGAAGACACATTTGCCACACGCTCGGAGGACATATCACAATCAACGTGGAACATGACCCGATATCTTGCCTTGCCGAAACCGACATTTCATGCCGTACCACAGCGAGCGTCAGTGGCCATTACCCTTGAAGTACAAACACGAGGTGACAGTACACTGGTGGACGCAGCAACAGGCCTCAAGGATAAGCTTCCCGGGACGGGTCTTGGACGAAAAAATTATAAATAAGCCACACGGGAGTTGAATACATGTGATTATGGAAAGACTCATTGCCTGGAAAGTGGATTCATCTGGACGGCCTACATGGCTCCAGGGAGCAACACAATCTCTTTTGTTGGTGGCTTCTCCTCCATTGCGTTTTGAAACTACAGCCAAATTCTGCGTCTCCGTTTGCGACCAAACCCCGCCTTTGAAAACCCCTGCTGCCCGCCTGTTCGGGACCATCCAGACGCTAGCAAAACAAGCTACTGGCCAGAACACCCGGCGGGAGCCGGATCACACCGGATCATGACTTGCCAATGTAGGCACAATGAGACGGGCGGAAGGGAAATGACTCAGACGCCCGCAAGGACGCGATTCACGGCATCACTGATTTGTGGCAACCTTATCGCGGATGACCCTGACGGCAGCCGCGCGTGACACCACGTGGCACCTGACGGCTGGGTCACCGGGCAGCCCCAGCGCCCGCTGCCGGCGCCGCCTTCCCGCCGCGCCTGGCAGGCGTGCTGGCGGTGAGCGGCGTCACGGTCGACGGATGGCGGTGACTGGTGATTACCGGCCGGCGTCGCGGCCTGCCCGGCCCCGACGGACGGCCGGCCGCCGGAAACGCCGGCAGCGCGAGCGACTGGTGGCGTGCGAGGATCGGCTGGCCGGCGGCCGGGTGCGCCGGCGAAGCGACCGGTGCGCCGCTCGCCTCGTGCCAGGTGCGTGGCCGGCAGGTCGGCGACCGCAGGAGACGGTCGCGGCACAGCGCCGAGATGAGGGGCAGGTCCAGCCGGTCGCTGGTCAGCCGCAGCTGGTCCACGTCCAGCTGAGGCTGGCCAGAGGGTGCCGTCGGCGTCGGCGGCTCGGCGCCGCTGGCCGGCGACACTCGCTCCATGCAATCCAGGTGCTGGCGGACCAGCAGCTGGTGCTTGTTCAGCGTTTGGCGCCGCTGTCGCTGGGACTGGCTTGGTTGGCTGACGGACACCAGCGACCGGTTCGGGGCTGCGTCTGGCAGCAGCTGCTGCGCCTGGGTACAGCACACCATCGTCGTCAGGGGCGCGCCCATCACCTGACGCGGCAGCAGCGCACCCGTTCCCCGATCACCCGACGACCAGCAGCGGCGCATGCAGATGGCATGGTGACAAACCGGCACCAGGCACGCTTCAGAACATCTGTCACAACACCGCCGGCCACTGGCTGACCGAGCTGACTAACCTGCCAGTACGGCGGTGGAGGCCGCTCATCGCCGTGAGCCGACGCCGCCGAGCGTCGCGCCGCGCCGGCCGACGCCGGCAGGTTGTCCGAGGTCGCGCGGTTCACAGCGGCGCGCCGGCCACTGGCGGCCGTCGGCAGTGCCGGGCTGGGCGCTGGCGTGCCGCTGACCGCGGACGCGCCCGTGGCGGAGGGGGCCAGCGACTGGCAGCTGAGGTGGCGGCGCAGGCTGTCAAGCCGCTCCGCCAGCGAGCCGACCGCCTCGCGCGTCGGGCCGACGCTGGCGCCGCGCGGGCCTGCCACACTAAGGAAGCTGCGGTACTGCGCACTGTCCTTGGGGGCGCGGCACAGCGGCGGCGGCGGCCGGCCGTCCGAGAGGTCCGCCACACCGCACCGCCTGGCGTCCATGTACTCCTGCCGGCTGATGCCCGGGTCCTTCAGCGGGTACATGACGTAATCTGAGTTGGAGAGCAGCTGGCGCTGGAACTGCTCGATCTGCGAGCGAGCCAGCTGGCCGATGTAAACGGTGGCCAGGCTGGTGCGCTGCGCCGGGTCTCGGCCACACGGCAGCAGCGGACCCGCCGCCAGCTGGGTCAGCCTGCCAGCTGCGGCCAGCTCCGCGCCGATCGCCGGCTGCTGCCAGCTGGCGGTTGGTGCCGACTGCTGCCAGCTGGGAGTCGGCACCGCGTGCAGACAGGGACTCAGCGAGGGTTGAGTCACCGCGTGACCCAGCGCAGGGTGCGGCCCCACACGTGCCAACGCGCCACTCGACACCGGACCGGGCGCTGGCCGCATCGCCGCGGGCTTCTGCGCCGTGCTGAGAGCTAGTCGCGACGCGCGAGGCCCCGGCCCGGGACCCGGGGCCGGGTGGGACGCGCGCACGTCCAGGCAGCTGTTGCCGCTGAGCACAACGCTGCGATCTGAGGCAGCTGGGCGCAACAGAGCGGCCGGCGGCGGCTGGGGCTCGAGGAGCGACGCCGTCGCCACGCACGCACGCAGCACGGTCACCGGTGGCCGGGCGGTGATGAAGCGCGCCGACGCCTCACCCGAGGCCGGCGCCCCGGCCGCCGGCACGGTGACGACGCGCACGGCAGCCTCCGCCGGCGGCGGTCGCTCGTCCACCGCCGCCGTCTGACATGACTGCGCTACACACACGGGCGTCACCGTCGTCACCGTGGCCATTGGCACGCCGCCCGCCGGCTCAGCCATCCGGGGCTGGCCGTGCCTGTCGTAAGGCACCTGGACGTAGTCGCTGTCCGTTTCGAACGTGCTGGAGACGGTGGTCTTGCGCGGGAACGAGCCGGGCGTCGTGACGACAGAGCCGACCGACGTGTGCGCCGAGTGCACGCTGTAGTCGATGTCCACCTGACCGGCGGCGGCCAAGGTGCCGCTGCACAGGTCGGCGCTGTCGGACGGGGCTACGCGCAGGTCAGCGCTGGCCGGCGCGTCGCCGTCCGTGGCACCGCTCGGCCGCAGCGGGCGGTGGCGCGCGCTGTCCGAGCCGGAGCCGGTGCTGCCGTCTGGCCGCGTGCACATGGTGCTGTTTAACGTCCGGCTGGCGGCGTCCGAGAGGCACGCGCCGCCGCCGGCTGCCGGCCGCGCGGCACCGCACATCGACGCCTCCTGCTGCGCGCTCGTGGTGCAGCAGGCCGCTGGCGATGCGAACCCTGGCGCCGGCGCCGGCTCGCTGGCCTCGACACGGCCGGCGGCGGCCGGCGGCAGCTGCGCCAGCGCGTAGTGTGGGTTTCCTGTCAGCGACAGGCGGCGCGGGGAAGGAGCGCAGCCGTCGCCGGTGCGCCCGGAGCCCCGCCGTGCGTCGGCCGCCGCAGCCGGCGCCACCGCCGCCGCGGACGGACGCCGCCGGGCTGGCGGGGTCACCTCACCACCTGGAGACGAGACGACGCGTCAGTAAGAAGTCTGCGTTCCAACGCACAAAGCAGCAGCCACTTGGTACACTCGAACCGAATGACCCACAGATGCGGAGTGTTTGGTCGGTTTGGTACACCAAATGATCGCACTGCCTTGAACATCTCATTTGGCGTGCCAGCTGAAGGCAGTTTAGTCTACACTGATAGCAAGTGTTCGCGGAGAACTAACTGCACAGCCGTTCCACTTCAAAGTGAAGTAAATCACACCGTACAGCAATGTTTGCCCACAGATGGGATAATTGTTCGGACTTTTGTCCTTGTCTGGTGTGCAAGCATCTACCGGCGTAAATACTTTATATATATATATATATATATATATATATATATATATATATGTACGAAGGGAGTTTCACTTGAAATATCAGTATCAACAGTGCAATTAAGGGCGGCAAAAAAGGACCAAGCACAACCTATTTGACAAATATTGTTGAAGGTTGCTAGGCATTTAGATTAGTGTCTTCCACGTAGTCATCGTGGTTTGGGAGCTGGAGATACAGGCTTCCATCCCCGAGCTCAGCGGCTGGACGCGTCATCCGCAAAGCTCTAGCGGGTGTGAGTTATTCTGGAAGTGCACTCGTGTTCATGGAACTGCCGTGGGCCGCTTTTAGGCACACAAACACTGATTGGCGTAAGTGTCGAAATGCTGAAATGTCTGTAAAACAAGGACATTTCTCAAGAGATTTTGTACATAAATATGAGCACCTTATTAAAGTCAAAATTCAAAATGAAATACCCTGTAATAAAAACAGTATGAGCACGTGTTCATACCATCAGACGAGGACAACAGTCCGTATTATTGTTTCATCAGTGAAACTGACGTCTCATCGCAACTCTTCCATAAAACTATGGTGTTTGCCTTCTTGCTCACCCACCACCCACGAACGGATCGCCAAAATCACTTACACCCATGTCCTCCACAACACTTGAAATCATACAGTATAACAACAGACATTAGTATTAACCTTATTCCTCGAGGAAAAAAGGGGAATGGAAATATGGTTGAGTCGATATGTCGGCAACATACTTTTATCGAAACAATAGCAGAAGTGAATTGAAAATTGCCGGCCAATGATACCACTCGATTTTTCAGTGTTTTTTTTTTTAACAGCATGTCACAGTTTTTACAGGACACCAGCATTCCGGGGATTAAACCAGGAGCGATTTCAAGCCATTACCACGATACAGTGCCTATCGAAGGATTAGAGTCCGCGAACATACGTGTACATGTAAACGAATTGAAGGAAATAGACATCATACATGATGCTTCATTCAAACATACAGGCGAGGTCCACACCTCCCTCAATTTTGGCTTGAACGTGTTTTGCCAAAAAATCTCTTCTATATCACTAAAGGAGCAACGTGTGTATGCGTGCGTGTATGTGTGTGGAGGGGGTGTGGGGGGTGTGGGTGTGGGTGTGGGTATGTGGGTGGGAGTGTGTGTGCGTGCGTGCGTGCGTGCGTGCGTGCGTGCGTGCGTGCGTGCATCGAGAAGTGTGCGGTAGTTTACGGTTTTTGTAATCATGGCCACAATATAGGGGAAAACGAAAATAGTTTGGTGGACGTTGCTCACAACGAACAGGTCTATAACCAGTGTAGTTTCCAGACCCAAAATATCCATCAGGCTTTCGAGATCAGTTTCGAACAGGATGAAAAGGTAAGTCGCTTTCCGGTCGATCATTGGTCACTAATACGTCGCTAGATCACAAGACCGCACTACGGTTACACTAGACCACTACGGGTGGGGCAGTTGTGAGACCGGCCAGTGAGCATCGTACATTCACCCGCAACGTGCAGCTGAGTTCACGTATCGATCTAACCTTGCTGCTGAGATCCAACAACAACCCCCAAAACACCCCGAAACGGTAGGATCCATGATTGGCGCACGAGAGCACGTGACCACATCGGCACATTGCCCCATATCTTGGCCAATACGACTGTCCCTTTTCTCTTCCGTCTGAATCTGTTGATCTCATTGCAATGCAATAGTGGGTCGGTGAGATCTGAGTGTCGGGTTTAGTGTGGCTCACCCGTAGTTCTTCAGGGTTTTCTGCGTGCGGCAATTTTACCTTTCTCATGTTACCCGAATGGAGACATGGAATCGTGCTCGTATTACAATGTTGCAAGAAAAGTCTGACCGACCATACAGCATGAGCCCACAATGAGTGACTTCCAATGCGTCAACTCCAAGGAAGCACAACGGCCGGGTTACGCCGGGCCGGGCCGCTTAAGCTGAAAATCGCATCATACATGGCTCAAGTAAGGATCGCCCAACCTGTGACCTCACTCGGAATCAAGAGGTACGATCAATAACTTGGCGTTCAAGTTATACAGTGCTAGTTAATGGCTGGAAGTAGATGGTGGTAGCGGTGACAGTGCTGGATAATTGAACGTAGTCAGTGTCAAGTGACAGCGAAATGACAGTTCACTGCCACCTCAGCCGCGCTGGCAGACTAACATCAATGCTTAGTCAGTATACTGCCACAAGTTCGGGGAAAAACAGCCTCCGGGCGTCAGTGAGTAAACAGACACCTCTGAATATCGTCAACCAGGTCAGCCTGCTGTCCATGTAGCGGTAGAAGTGACGGAAGGGTGGCATGCCATGATATTGCCTACATATACAAATTGTGATATGACCAAACGTACAGGGTTCGGTTCTTCACGGTGTCCATCCTTCCAGTCGGGGTGAGAGGCAGACGAGGCCACATGCGCTCAGTAGCTGAGTGCGTCGTAAAGCCCTAATGACGAAGGAATTGCGATATCGGAAGCGCCAACGACTTGCGAAACAGCTTCTGATACATTCATGTCTACGCATTGTGCAAAAAAATGACACGAGGTCCGTCGTTCCCGACAGTTATCATCCCGAGCCAGTGGCTTGTGACGTCATAGCCACGTCTCGACGGGTCTTACCCCGTGCTGCACCAGATTCAGTCGTCCATTGGTGACGTCACGGGCATCTCAGGACGGCGTTTGTCAATGTGGCCAGTGCCTCCGGTCCGGTGCAGCCGCGGACTGGCTGATCCGGAGTGGAACGCCGAGCCAGACCGGCACTACGCGATTTTCTTTCAGCGAGGGGCTGTTGTGTAACCGCTGGTCGCTAAAGAGTGATATTCAGGGCGCCACAATAACGTCTTCAGTTCAACATTCAACTGACTGCACAGAAAGCTGAGACTAATTTCCAAAGCTGTGGGAGCCTCAGTGCCGACTTACCGGCGGAGGATCTCTGTGACGATCGCGGGGAGGCGGCGTCCAGCTGCGAGCGGGAGCGAGTCATCGAGTCCACCCCGCTCTCGGCAGACTCGGCCGCCCCGCAGCCGGCCAGCAGCTCCGCCTGCAGGTCATCTGTAAACACCCGACCGCACCTGACTCACCGCCCAGGACCAGCAAAACGGCCCGGACTGCGGCAAGTTTATTTGGTGCCTCCTTGCCACCAGCCCCGCGGTCGTTGTAAGCCGCTCACCACAGGTTCACTTGCTTGAAGACTCAGTGGCTTCCCCGACAGTTCGTAATATCAAAAATCTGTTCAGCGCTGCATACCAAGGCATTGTCAAGATCGGCAGCAGCCGTCCCACACACCCTAACAAGGGCATCTCAACGTACGCACCCACGGCGTGGCGGCGGTGTTCGGGCCGGGGCGGTGTCGCTGCGGCCAGACGGGCCAGCACTCACCGTCGCTGTCGTCCAGGCTCGGCACGGTCCGGTCCGAGACGACGCCGGACGTGGCGTTGGACGAGGTGCTGGAGACGACCGAGACCCGCTGCTCGGCGTCGCCGGCCGACGTCTGCAGGTACTCCCAGCCCGGGCGCAGGTCACGGGGGCGCCGGAGCGAGCTCGCCGGCGTCCGCCGCTCTGCCAGCCAGGCCCAGCTCCCGTCAGGGGCGCGGCGTCGCTTAGCGTTCCAAAAGCCGATTTTCGGGTGGACGTAATCGGCTGCTGACGTCAGCTCTCAAGTGGACGTAATCGGTTGCTGACGTCAGCTCGCGCAGTGTGTGACGTGCGGCCGTGGCGGTGGCCCGGCGCAGCGCGGCGACACAAGCAATGCAACGAGCAATGAAATTAAGCAACGAAAACAAAAAATTATCAACATTTTTTAAAGTGTACGAGGCATCTGAATAAGTGTAGTGCTCAAAGCTTTCAGTTATCTATGCCGTGATGAAATTAAGTTTTGCAGCAAACTGACAATTCATCGACGAACGCCTGGCGTTTTGAAGGATGCATATATATATATATATATATATATATATATATATATATATATGTATATATATCTATATATATCATATATATATATATATATATATATATATATATCCTTCACATACATGAATAGGGCCACATAATTATTAGCATAAGGCATTGTGGTGCAGATGCACACGTCCTGCAACTTTACAGAACACGATCATTGGGTGCAACAAGTTTTTCAAATTCCAACCATGGTGTTGTATAGTGCGCCATTACAGAAAAATAAGTAGCAACATCTGTAATTCTTATGACACTAAATCGAGCCATGACCCCCACTCTATTTCGCTTGATTCAGTCCGAACAAATGACACCGTTTTATTCAAAACTCGGTTTCCAATCACTTTGATTCAGAATCGATTCGATTCATTTGTGATGAATCAGGTCTCAGGCACCAGTCTGCTGCCATGCACACAACAGCGCAGGGGGGAGTGCGCGCCACGCAGTACTGGCTGGGCGCCGCTCCACACCCGCCGCGGCCGCGGCCGGCGCAGGAGACTTGAATGGAGACAGGAGACAGAGACAGAGACAGAGACAGAGACAGACAGGATTCAGGAGACAGGGCCGGCGCGGGAGACACGGCTTCACCGGCCCGGGGATCACGGTAGGCGCAAGATGCCCTTTGGCTGGCCTATGAGGATCCGGCCTGCGGGTTGGGTTCGTAACCCGGCTAGATCTACGGCACCGTCGTCGTCTGTCCTGATGGGCCCGAAGGCCCCTTGGACCCCGAGGGGGCTTCATGTTCCCTGTGCTGCCCCCGCTCCCATGCCCCGCTGCGCCTTTCGCCCTTTAGGTATGTATACGAAACTCAACACGGGTCAGGGACTCGCTCTCAAAACGCAAGTCCGAGGTGAACTGCGACGTCCGCGCCCCAAAACATTCGGAACTCGCTGCCAGTTGGACTGAAAGTATAGCCGTTTTCGCTAGCAGGCCAAACATCCCAGCTTCTAGAAGAACTTCTCTATTTCCTACTGTTTTGATGATGAAAACGTCCATATTGGTGACACTTGTCCAATCGGTGGTAGAATGTTCCCTTTGGTTGCGATTCCTTAAATTTAGTAGCAAGCGTCAGCTTTGGTTTTCGGTAAATGGATGATAACCAATCAGTGAGCGTGACATGTGACATGAGAAATCAGGTCACAATGGTGTAGCATTGGGGCCACAGACTTCATCAGGTTATCTCCGAAACCCAACGTGGTATGGCAATGAAACAAGCGACGCTTTGCAGGGGTCGTCATAATCCGCTAAAGATCGGTAACATGGCCAGACATTTGCTGCACGAGGTCAAGGTCAGTATTACATCGACACATATTTCTTCATTCAATACAGATCAGTAATGTCACCCGCCATGTGCCATACGAGACCATGCAACGTAAAATATTTCCGTACAGATTTCTTCCCGTTAGGCAATGGCTTCAAATGACATCACCTCGCGCATTTTAAAGAATCCTATCATCGTGTGGAATCGTAAAGCATGCACGCCCTCAGCCTTCAGAGCGCACGTTTTACGACAAACTTGCATGTCTGGATGCCTGGACGCAAAATGCCACAGACACGATCCCAAGATGTCACAATTCGCGAGCTCTGAAGAGTCGGGAACACAAACTTTCACCGAGTGTGTAAAAACACGGTGTGCTCAGTTAACAAAATGTAAGTACAATGCATTCATGATTTATTCTAAAAAAAAAACTCTGGTGGAGGCTGTGAAACCGCCTCGTTCAGCGGGGAGTCTGTCAGTAGATCGACCGCCTTGTTCAGCGAGGGGTGAGTCGGTAGATCGACCGCCTGGTCCGGCGAGGGAAGAGTCGGTAGATAGACCGCCTGGTTCGGCGAGGGAAGAGTCGGTAGACCGACCACCTGGTTCGGCAAGGCAAGAGTCGGTAGACCGACCACCTGGTCCGGCGAGGGAAGAGTCGGTAGAGCGGGGTCGTGCCAGCAACACTGGGCTGACGAGGGCCGTTTCCTCTGAGGCTTGTACCAGGACAGCGGTCCACCACACGTGACAAACACAGTCCGCCACCGTACGCACCTTCTTCTGAACGCTGCTGGATGAGGGCGAGCCGGTCATGAGCTGACTGCGTGAACAGGTGGGTCTCCTTGCAGAGGTGGAACAGCTGCTTGGATTTCTCGTCGTCCGTGGTGTAGAAAGTGAACTTCTGAGTCAAGGCACTGATTTCAAACTTCTTTTTCTGGAAACAAAGCAAAATGTGGCAAAATGATATCCGATAAGGTTGACAGTGCTTGGCAATGGTCTAAGATAAAACTTTCTTATCACATTATTCGGAGAGGCACGACACAAGAACTGCCAAAATCTTTGGAGAAAACATTTTAATCGCAGAAACCAGCTCGTAAAAAGGCCCACCTCTCGCGAACGTTTCTCTGCCTTGCATGACCCAAGATAAGGTCACATTAAAACAGATCATGACCACTAAAGGCCATGGCTGTAAGCCATGTGTCTGCCTGTCATACTGTTGCTAAATGCGTCATACTTCTCGACACCTATCGCCGCTGCGCACAGTATGTGCCTTCATCTCCCAGTTCCCGTCTGGTTACGCTTTAGGCACGAGGAACTCAGTCTCTTTTGCTTGCATGTTTCAGTGCATAGTGTGCCACTTACTTTTGCCATAAGTGTGAAGGATTCGGGAGGGTTCAACGATTACAGTTTTCATTTGTGCCTTGACATTTAACATAAATTAAGTGTGCGATATGACTTGCATTGCGAACAGCACGCAGTCTTGCGTCCATCTTTAAGCACCCACAGGTATATTACAAGTCACATCTTTCCTCAAGACATCACTGCATTTGACACACGCCAGACGGTACAACGCTTCTTGTTAGAGCTGCGTGTAACTGACGAGAGGAGAGTCATGTCGAGATAGCAATGCTGTGCAACAGCTGACTCACCTCAAAGCCGAGCCTGCCGATGTTTGTCCAGATAAAAGACGCAATCAGCTTTCTGACGCTGTTCTTCTCCTCCTGTAAGGAAAGAAAACCATCTCAAAGGCAAAGGCGATCTCATGTTGCGACACATTCATTCAATGGCATACATGCTCAATACATACATGCATGCATTCATACATACGTACACGTGAAGCACGCCGCAGTAGGCAGTGCTTTGCCTGACCCCTGATCCCAACGTCCTCCTCCCCATTATTGAGCATGCAGAACTAAGTATGCTGTGTTATCTTGTGAACAAGAATGTTCGTTCAACAAGGATGCAACACAAACAGACCATACTTGTTTCTTCTGGGGACCCGTAGTTTCGGCTTCCAGACCCTCCACCCCCCCTCCAATATCGTGTCATCGATCTCCAGATCACACTAGACTGTGCCTTCCGTCTGCAGGCCCTACTAGACCGTGGCCTCGGTCTCCAGACCCCACTAGACCGTTTGTTTGGTCTCCAGACCCATTAGACTGTGTCATTGGTTTCCAGACCCCATTAGACTTTTTCTTCGGTCTCCAGATCCCACCAGACCTTGCCGGCGATCCTTGGACATTACTAGACCATGTCTTCGATCCCTGGATACCATCGAAATGACCGTGGCCCATTCCCCGTACCGACCGGACCGTGTCCCAATCCCCGTGTCCCACCAGACCGTATCCCAGTCCCTGTGTCCCATCAGACCGTGTCCCAGTCCCTGTGCACCGCCGGACCGTGTCCGGACCGTGTCCAGTCGCTAAGAGGCCCCACCGGACTGCGTTCCAGTCGCTGGGAGGCCCGCCGGACCGTGTCCAGGCGCTGGGAGGCCCTACCGGACCGTGTCCCAGTCGCTGGTAGGCCTCCGCCGGACCGTGTTCAGTCGCTGGGAGGCCCCACGGACCGTGTCCAGTCGGTGGGAGGCCCCGCCGGATCGTGTCCAGTCGCTGGGAGCCCCCCGCCGGACCGCGACCACTGCGGCACGGCGGCGAACCGGCCGCCGTGCGGTGCTCGCCGCTGGCCGGCGGCGGCCGGGTGCGGGTTGACCCAGATGGGCGGCGGTCGGCCGAGCTCCGCTCCCCGGCCAGCGCTGAGGAATGGGAGCGGCGCCAGCCTGCGGCGGACGCGGCGGGCTAGCCGGGTCGGCCAGCCTGCCTGCCCGCCTGCCCCCGCGTCGGGCTCGGTACGGACCGGACGGCGCGACGCCGCCGGTCCCACCTCGCTCGGATTCTCCGGTGCTTGCCGCCTTCTTTGCATTGTGTTACATAAACCAGGGAGGGGTAAGTAGTCGACACTTTGATGCCGCTATGTCATGGTGTGACAGCAAGTCGTGCGTCCATGCAGTTAACCTTAATCCGCGATCACAAAGGCAAGAAACAGATTGGTCGCATTCCTGTGGACCTTTCGAAACATCTGAAACGGGTCACCAACAAGCACACGGCTCGCGACACACTGTCATGCACAGAAGTTGTGCAATTCATGTCTTGAGGGTGTTCTGGATGACAGATGCTTAGACTTCTGAAAACTGCACGACCGCCGTCGCCGCATCCGCAACCTGGATTTTTAGCTCTCCTTGACGCGGACGGTTGGCCTCACTACTGTAGCTGTAATTATGACTCTAAGTGCATTTACAAGTGCAAAATTATTGGTGCTAACCTTCGCACAGAAAATTACACTAAGAACAGCACGCAAAAGGGTACGATGGAGAAACTTGGGCCATTTCTGAAGTATCTTGTGTTACACACGACGTCCTAGAACGGACCCATCATTTAAGCTCATTTATCGTTAGTGCAGCCTGGTAGTCAGTTACGCTTTCCAAAGTAGGAGGCTGTTTCGTTTTGTCCGTCATCTAGCCTTATCCCTTGTGCAAACAAACACTGAAATATGCACACTTCGGGGTATTAGCATGTCTAGGAAGAAGCGAGCCATTGCAGGACGGGTAGCACAAGGGGTGCAGGATCATCAAAAAGGATAAATCAGTTCGCTTGGAAACATGTAGTTACCTGATTGAGTCACCCCGTTACTGGAATTACCTGGAGAGTCATCGCGCCTTGGTTGCACGAAGTAAACGAACGATGTAGCAAAGGTGCGTCACTGCCCGTATGCATTTGCATGGCATAACTTTATAAATACACCGGACTTAAAACTCCACAAAAGTATAAGAAAGAAGCTTTGAACCTCATAAAGACAAGAAAAACTGGATAAATAACTTGATGAGTACACAAATAAAAGAAAACGGTAGGCTCACGCTGTGTTTAAAGAGGAACAGAAATGTTATGATATTAACGATATCATAGCTTCCGAGCATTGGACCACATTTTTTATCATGAATTATAGATGCTGTGGGGTTGATGTAATAACCTTATGTGTCACGCCTTAGAAATCTGAAAAAATTAAACAAATAGAAGCGTCTTCAATTGATGCGTTTCCACAATTGGACCTAAAAGCAGCCTACAAGCACCAAGGCCATTCCGGATGGACCACTCCTCACGAAGTTCAAGCATCCCTATTTTGTCCTGGCTACTTTAGATAATACGAGCCGAGTTAAATCATTTAAACTCCTTGGATACTATTCTGACGAATCAGGATGCAATGACGCAATACAATGACGTCTAACGAAATGTATCGCATCTGACTATTATATTCTTATAGTTACTGTCATTCACGGAGTACTGACGCTAGTTAGGCTCTTTTCCCCCATCGAACTCCTTCATCCAGCCCGCTAACCATAGGCGATGGCTCAAGTGATAACGTCAAGACTTATTTAATGGACGGTAATAGCACAAAAGCGGCGCATTGACAACTTTTGGTTTGTGCGAAAACAGACTCGGAGAGCTTCTATAAATTCAAACTTTGCACAACTTTGTGCCCTATGCCAAATCCAGCACGCAATCATCTTCCTAGCACACGATTAGCAAATGGACACTCTGTATTGATTCTACATCAGTCAGAAGACAGGCTGGCAAAGTAGCGCCGACACCGTTGGCGTCCATACCTGATACAGCTCCACGCCGTTGGGGCAGATGCCGAGCAGAACGGAGCCGGAAGTGTCCGACTTCCGGCGCCTGAGCCGGTACAGGTGCAGGTTGAAGGGCGCCTCGACCGCCGACGCCTCCCTGATATAAGCCAGCTCGGCCTGCGCACTGGACATGCCCCTGTTGTGCCGGTGTACGGCTGGCGTGCTGTTCAGGATGGACTCGGCGCCCGCCTGACCAATCAGCTGCCGACAGCAGGCGGCCTGTCAGCTGATGTTGAACAGGGAGACGACGGGAGCCGCGCTTCGCAAAACCAGACGGACCACCAGCTGAGCTGCCTGCCAAAGCGCTTCGAAAAGCCAGAACAGGCTGATATGGGGGCTGGGTCCACTTTTTAAAATGAATTGCGGGGCAACGAGGGTGGTGCGACTCAAAACTAACATTTTCCACCCAAACAATAACCCATGGATGTAACCATGTCTGTAAGATTAAGAGAATGAATCCGTATTGGAGGAGTCAAACTAGAATCTGGAGAAGACAGCCAGACCTGAAATTATTCTTTAAACGATTGTCGTGAAAACACGCGTGCTATGTCCTACCCTAAAGGGGGTTAAATCCCATCTGTTGCCAGCTAGACGGACACGTCCCCCAGTTTTGTGCAAATTTGAATTAAGTGCCATTTAGTTTTTTATCACATTTTAATTAAGTGCCAACTAGACGGACACACAAATTACACGCAACGCAGTAATCAAAGGAAATATTCCCAAAGTTGCCGTCAGGACGATATCACCGTAGTGCCGTGCTATGAAACACTTCGTTCATTAACGTGCACTGGTAACAACAGCTACCAACAGGATCCTTTTTCATGCCAAAAACTGGGCAGCAACATTGCAGTATAATGAGCGACCAGCGAAAACCATAAAGATGGTAATGATGAGCGAATGATCTGAAATGATCAATTGTCACACTAATGCTTTAACTTGCCGGTTACATCCAAAAGCACCACACAGACTCTCCTGAAGTTTGCCATACCAGTGTCGGACAGGCCACTTATCCTACATGCGCTCTGCGCAAATGCTCGCTTAAAGCATGGGTGTGAACATCGAGTGAAGCCCATTCCTAGTCCCCGAGCATGATAATCGATTTCTGTGCTCCGCGTGATATTCTGTGGCTTTATTGGTGGCCCCAGTGAGTCCTGGCAAACCAGAGGCCGTCCATAAATACATTTTGCACGAGGGAAGGAGTTTTTTTTTTGTTCGAGTCTAATCAAATCGCAACGATGGCGCGAGAATATCGCATCATGCTGTGACGTGGTTGGGGTGGTTGGGGTGGTTGGAGCGGTTATTAGGTATTAGTTAAAAGGTGTCGTTATTAGGTGCGGTAGATGTTGGTCATTAAGCAAGGTTGTAAATCGTGCTGAAATAGTTTCTAATAGTTTAAAACCCTAAACCAAACACGGTTAGCTTCTAATCTTTAACTCAATTAGGGGCCAAACGGACGTTACGTTTGGGACACAGCGCTTAGCACAGCGTAGCAAGGGAGGAGGCTTTCGAAAAAGGGAAAAGCAGCCTCCTCCATGTTTACAGAAAAAAATGCTGGCTCCACCTGGTAGGTGCGCTAAATTTTCAGCAACTGGCACTTAATCAACTTCGCATATTCCCGGGCATCACAATTTTTGATACTAGGTCAAGTCGCAAGCTGTGACGTCACAACCGCGAGCAGCGATTCACAATTTCCTTTGTTTTTCTGGACTTCCATTTTAAGTCTTAAGTTGTTCTTAACTAATTAATTTAAGTAACATTGCATCAAAAAATTATGAACTATTTTATTCAACACTAATTAATATCGAGTTAAATGTTAAATAATTTAATAAACCTTAACTAATTCAATTTTCCCTTTCAGTTGTGGTTAATTTACTTTGTAATGTAATCAAACAATTTTTCCGCTAGCTTGAGTGCCTCTAATAACGGTCGGCCACACCATTTCACATCGGTTCACCGTTCGAGATCATGTAAGGCCATCTTGCAGGTGTTAAAGCAACGTAAGTTGTGTTGCCCAATTGTGGTTAACAAATTGGTATAACTGAGGCATTTTCATACCAATGACTTCTATATAGCATTTTAACCGGATGAGTGCGAAATCCTTTACATTTGATAACAAGACCTGGACTTGGCACAACCATGACGTGATATGATACGACCTCAACGCTTACCGTTTTTAGTATTATAGCATTCCACTTTACCAACTATGCATAGCTATGCGACGCAAGAATACGCGCTCGTCCGTTTGATTCCGGTCACATAGCCCCTCGATCAATATTAAGGAGGGTGGAGGTCCTTGAAATCATTTGAAAATTTGGGATGCATCAGCGGTCGCCATCAGTGATGGACATCAATAGAAAAATTTCTCAGGAAGGTCGACCGGGGCTCTCGACTGTCGTTTGAGTTTTTTTCGGTCCGACGATTACATCCTGAAATACCGAGAAGCAAAAGTTAAAATCAAGCCCTCTCTAGGCTGCCGCGGATGGCGAAATACCCCAGACTGTGCCACATGAACACGTGAGTGGCTGCTCCAGGAATGCAGCCACAATACTCGCATGCGCTGCCCCGTTGTTGCACGAACGCTCTGCAGCTCCGGCCGACATGCGCGAGCGCAGCGCCTAAACACGGGACGACGAGACCACGCCGGCAGACGCGTGACGAGCGGGACAGAAACAGACGCCCCCACCACTACCACTCTGTCTGTGAGCGGACGCGTACCCAGTCGGGGAAGTAGTCGGCCGGCCGGAAGTACTGGGTGCCGGCGTGAAGTGGTCGGTCGCCGAGGTCAGCCTGCAACGCCCAGCCGGCCAGCAGCAGGCACAACTCCCGGCTGCACGCCTGCCCGTGCGCCAGCACGTTCTCCCGCAGCTGCAGGTAGTAGTGGTGCCGGGTGACCTGATCCCTGCAGGGACAGACAGACAGTGTCAGCCCACACAGCGGTGCCGGGGGGCCGGTCCCCACAGGGACAGACAGACAGGGTCAGCCCACGCGGCAGTGCCAGGTGACCCGGTCCATGCAGGGATAGTCAGGCAGGGTCAGCCCACACAGCGGTGCCGGGTGACCCGGTCCCTGCAGGGGCAGACAGGAAGGTCAGCCCACACAGCGGTGCCGGGTGGCCCGGCTGACCAGACAGGAGGGTTGACCCACACAATGCTGACAACGCCCCCGCGAGGACGGCCCGAGGGCACCACGCAGTGGGTGCAAGCTGACCCAGGCTCAACGGGCACATACAAGGAGCGGAATTTTTAGCAGGTCTAGCATTGCTTCGGTAGCCATGCGTGAGAAACAATGAAATTAAAAACATCACTGTTTGCAGGAGTGCCTACGTTGCATACTCCTGTTTGGGATTACTAGATAAGGCTTATATCCTTGCATGGAGTGAATTGCCACAAAAGTCCAACACGAACTCATTAGTGTACCCGCACCCCAATCATCCTTGTGGAAAGTGTCGCCCTCGACTGCGCCTTGTGGCTTTGGTTCTAGGATCCATCCACAGTTGTCAACTAAACGCTGGGTAGGGGTTCAATTGTATACAAAATACACACGACATATTCCACTCCATGTTCAGCGCGTCTACACGCCAGATGATCTGTGCAGGCTGATCACGTACAAGGCAAGGTGACATAGTTTTAAGTTACAATCACTTAAGTGAAAGCCCTGCTGCGAGACAGAAATATCTTTATGTCCTGATGTTTCGGCCCCTCAGCATATTTCCTGATGACACTTTTTTGGTTTGCTTTGGATTGGAGCCCATTCGACCGGTTGTGACCACTTCAGGACCACGAAGCCTGAACGAGAGCGGATAGTGGTGGAACAAAGCTATATACACCTGGGGGTTCCTCCGCCGAAACTGAGCCCGCACAGTGCGCAGGGGCCACCATACGAGCTCTATGCTCGGCGCTCTGATGGGGCACTGGGGGTGCCTGGTACCACCAGGGGCACCTTAGCGCGCTCGTGGCTCGTGCATGTAGTTTGACCCGGGCAAACGGGGCGCCACGAAGTCGCAGGATAAAGCAAGATTGAGGAAAGAAGGTTGGATGCATGATGAAACGTAAGATATGTAACACCCTTTCCACGCTAGCGTTTGTTCGACTGGTACCTAATTTAGTTCAGCCGCATTCCACAGACACCTCGTTCTAAAACTAACGGAACATGGGACGCACAGGTGCCGCAACTCATGGCTTTTCGTCAGGTCTATCAAAAATATGTTGTCAGGTTTAATATCCTGTAAACATTATTCTTTAAGTAATTTTGTTGAGACATCGCGGTCCAGTGGACCATATCACGCCTGTGTATTTTGACCCATGGGAAAGACTCATGGAGCATCCGTCGCACAATGGAAATGACGAAGATGTGCATGATAATGATACAAAACGCCTCCGGGGTGAGTTGATTGCGTTAAAGTTACAGCCATGCTGATAACCCATACCGCAAAACATCATCATATTCCTTCGTATCCATCCTGTCAAGCATTTCAGGCGTGGTACCAAATCATGCCCCTGTCTAGTAATGCTTGCGTGAAAAGGGGTAACTACAAGACGCTCTAAGTAGTGCTAGTGCAAGGTGATGCGCAATGCACAAATTTGATCGACTGGTTCTGCTGACAAGCTCCACGAAGCTCCACGACATGAGATAAGACTCGATGCCGCGTCTCTTGCTCTCACTCAAGTTGATCTCGTGCTGACGTTTCAGACACCAACGGCCCTCCGCGGTCTAATGCTCCTGCCCACCACGCGCCACACGGGACGGGAGGCTGACCCACAGCGACTCTGGCGCCGCCCGCCAACCGGCCGACTCACTTCCCGACCGGAAGTGAAGTACTTCCGGTTGGGTGTCGTTGGTGCCGCCCGGTGGCGGCGCGCGGCGCAGCGCAAACTTGCCGCAGTCACCGCGCACTAGCCGATTCGGTGTGGGTGAGAACATTGCCGTATCTCGACAGGAACATCAGATGCAAGAAGGCGTTTGAAAACGTAACAAGCGCGTTTTTTAGATGTCATGAAATAAACTGTTTTACTTCGTTCATCTGCGCATTAGTTTCCACACCTATAAATTCGATGTCCCCTGGTGTCCGTCGCAGGCATATAACGCGTAGGCATGAACATGAGGATGCACCCACTGCCGTCGAGAGCAAGCATTTGTCTGGCCTAGGCCTTAGTTAAGCGTCATCGCGCTTCATCAGTTGTTCTTCCTCAACCGCTCGCTGCATAACCCGACTGTGACCTGGTAAATTTGTGACCCGCAATGAAGACTTCCTAATGACCTGCATGGGGCTGAATAAGAAGCTTGGCTGTACAGCCGTACATGTAAATATCTTGATACTCACCAATGAAATTCGAATTGGCTTTAAAGTAAGTAAGTCGAAGAATGCGAAGTAAATGGAAGCGCGACACTGAATTCAAATCCAAATACGACGCTTTCACAACGCATATCGATGAGGTTCAAGCCTCACACCGACTCGAGTAAAGGCCAAACCGTACGACTATTAAAAAGTAAGAGGAGGAGCAACAGCCACAAGAAAGATACGCGACCACGTCTTTAACAGCAAAGGATACCACATGAATAATACCGGTATGCTCCAGCTGGCTACATAATGAGCTCAAAATTGTTTTTCTGTAATGCTCTAACTTTTTCCACACGCGTGTTTGTGGCGTGTGCAGCATCAAGTTGAGTTCCGCTTAAAGTATTTCTTTGCACAGAGTGGAAGACGACATGATCGTCAGGAGTCCGTCAGCCTCACTCGTCATTCAGACTATGTGTTCTCACAGACTACATATTGATCGCTGTCGTCTCGCTGAGAACTCAAGATATGGGTTTCTCACTGCCTTCGACTTGACCGTTATTTCAAGCCTCTGATTTTATTTTAAAAAATGGATTCCTTCCACAAAATAGTTATCAATACATTGGGAGTTGGACTGCACAATTTGAAAGAGTGTGCTATGATACTGCCTTTAATTTGGGTTGTGTTACCACGCATTACGATGCACAGCCTATTCGCACCTTGGACAATAGGTGCGATATATATAAATAAATATATAATGTAATATAATAAATATAATATAATATAATAAATATAATATAATATAATAAATATAATATGATATAATAAATATAATAAAATATAATAAATATAATATAATATGATGAATATAATATAATATAATACATATATAATACAATATATAAATAGATCTGAGCTTGCCCTATCGGGCAAATATATAACAGTTCTTTCCCCAGAGAAATTAGGAGTACTCCGTCGCACCGTGACATGTACATGGCGTTGACAACGCAACCTCACAAACCGACGCATCGAGGAAAGGAAGGTGCATTCAGAGAACTAGACCCGGACCTTAAGCAAACAAGTTTTGAAATATACTAATCCACGTTAGTTCATGATCACAGCGGAAGAGTGCAAGCAAAAGCGAATCAAGACAATGCTCGTTCGCACTCCAACCGCAAACCGCGAGCTAAAACTACGCACTGCCTCCATATCACTCACCTGAGAAGGAGGTGACACTCCACGTAGAACTTGACCCGTAGGCTGAACTGAAGCAGGGGCTGGTTTGAGGCATCTAGACCCTGAAAATGTATATTGATGGGAATCTTTTATTCCGAACGCGACAAATTCCACCATGCGGTCGCATCACTTTGTTTCCTTCCTTCTCCGAACAATGCAGGACAGCAGCAACATCCGGCGCAGTGTAGCTGTGGCTGGTGTTGAAAAGTGCATTGGGCTGGTTGGGTATCATCACAGATGTGCAAGTCGCAATCCAATGCATCGCAACCCAATGCGTGATCTGTTTATTTAAAACAATGGAGCAGAGGAAACCCAACTGTCTGACCGCGGCCAGCAGCGCTACAGATCACAGAACACCATACCCCTTTCCGCCATCCCCCCCCCCCAGGAGCGCAATAGTAAAAGGGCCCTCCAACCCCCCCCCCAAAAAAAACAAAATGTCGGATATGGCGTTAGTGGAAGCATGTTTTTAAGCATGTTGTTCGTAGACTACATATATATATATATATATATATATATATATATACATATTTTTGTATATATCTTTATATATATATATATATATATATAAATCTTACACATTTGTACCTTTTACAACCGAAATGGATGCCGGGCGCTACCGCGAGATCAATTCTGCCTGAAGTTTATATAGTCAATGAACTGAAAACGTCATGTGTTAAATGACAATATGAAATAAATCCATGGCACTTTTCATTTGAAAATAGTTCAGTGGACTCTTTTTAATCCGATATAGAGCGCAAAAACTTTGTTGAAATTTTTTTCTGGGTTGTGCAAGGATTTCAAGAACCCACCAATGTAGCTTAAAGAGCAAAATGGTTCAAAAATTTGTATTAACATGGCCAAGTCATTTTTGTCTGGATATGCTCCACATTCAACCAGAATCGTGATTAGTCATGCAAACAATGTAACACAATTTTGAGCAAGGGCACCCGCATATCTTAGCAACGAAAACCTCGACACCAGGCGTTGCATTCTCCACAGGCCGCTCGTCGTCGGCCCCGCGGCCAACACTAGGCCTTAGCCAACAGGTGGACGCAAATAATGATGCATTTGAAAGAAGAACCTTTGAACGCTTTTGGACATACAATTGTGCATTTATAGATATTCCGGGCGTATATTTCACTTATGCGATTTTTAGATTGATGATAATAATAACAGACTGGCCTGTACAGCACCGCGAAGTGGTCCTCGAATCTGGTGGTGAAACTGAAAGAGTAAAGCTAAAATCTTTCATTTTCGTGCTGTTGTAACTGTTAAGCTGTCCAGAAGATAACCACAAAGTTGCAAAAAGTGATTCGCGCAGTGTAATCTTTGAACCCTACGGCTTGATTTTGAATGAAATTCGGAAACATCATTTTGCGATCGTCGTTGTTGCGCGATCCCCTAGCCGATCCGAAGCCCCTTAGCGGGATACATAATTTCACATTAGTCCTCTCTCTGACGCGGGAGGCCTTGTGACTCACGCCATTCACCCCGGATCAACGTATGAACCGTCATTGAAGCAACAACATCCCTGATCGTCGCAGGTGGTCAAATAATTGGCACATCACTTTGACCAAAATGACTTTGGAATACTCTCCCCGAAATACTCTCCCCATTTTCACAGGCGTGCAGCTCAGAAACTAAGGGGATTTGGGTCTCAAGAATGGCAGGGCTGTTAACTGCACCAAAAAGTATTCAAGACGGCCATTTCAGTTCAAAACCCCACATAAATGTTGAACATTTCCTTCAACGGCAGGTGTCCTGCACAGACTGCCCTGAAGTGCATACCGCACAAACACTCTGATGATAAGCTGTACTCCTGATCTCGGCGCGGCTTCCTAAGGGGCCTCGCCCGCCCTCGTCCCAGGGTGGCAACCACCCATATGCACCCAGCCCCTTCCATTCTAGGGAAGCTGTCTGGACAAATCAAACATAAGCATCTGTTGCGGGGGAAGGGGGGACAACTGCACACGGGAAAAAAACGGGACGGCAGCACGGCTGCTGGGAGCGTGACCTCGAACCGTCACCTAACCAGCCTGTCTGCCATACAGACCACGGCGTCGGCAAGCTGTGAGTGAGGCTTCACGGTGGACGGCACTGGAACGGGCCGGCCTAACACGAGGCGCCACAGCGGACGGCACTGGAGTGGGCCGGCTTAACACGAGGCGTCGCAGTGGACGGCATTCTTAACACGAGGTGTCACGTTAGACGGCACTGGGGCGGGCCGGCTTAACACGAGGCGTCGCAGTGGACGGCACTGGAGCGGGCCGGCTTAACACGAGGCGTCGCAGTGGACGGCACTGGAGCGGGCCGGCTCAACACAAGGCGTCGCATTGGACGGCATTCTTAACACGAGGCGTTACACCGGTGGGATACAATAGGAGCTGAGCGGACGGCCTGGTGGGATGCGATAAGCGCAGAGCGGACGGCCTGGTGGGACGCGGTGGGAGATGAGAGGACCGCCGGGTGCGACACGGTGAGAGCAGAGCGGATCGCTCGGTGGGATGCGGTAGGACCTGAACGAGCCGCCCGGTGGGACGCGTTGGGAGCTGAGCGGACCGCCCGATGGGACGCGGTGGGAGATGAGCGGACCGCCGGGTGGGACTCGGTGAGAGCAGAGAGGACGGCCTGGTGGGACGCGGTGGGAGATGAGCGGACCGCCTGGTGGGACGCGGTGGGAGCAGAGCAGCGTCCTTCTACCACCGGATGTCGCGTAGTGTCATGCGCAGCATCTGGGCGAGAAAGGGCGTCTCTGCTATTCCGACTGGTGTTATCATGAGCAGGTCCAATCATACGCTGGCAAATCGGGCTCTCAGCGAGCGCAGCTGGATAAATGTCTGCAGTGGCTGGTGGACTGGTAGGCTGCTGTGGTTGCTATGATGCTGCGTTTGTTGTGGCCGCTGTGAATGCTGTGGATGCCGTGGAGCTGTGGATGCTGTGGATGCTGTGACTGCTGTGGCTTCTGCGTGTGCTGTGAATGCTGCTTATGCTGAGGGTGTTGCGGATGCTGTGTGAGATATGGATGCTTTGGATGCCGTGGATGCTGCGTGTGCTGTGGATGCTCCTGACGCTGCATGTGCTGTGGATGCCGTTTGTGCTGTGGTGCCATGGATGCTGTGTATGCTGTGGCTGCTGGGGCTGCTGTGGATACCTGGCATTGATTATGCGGAGGGATTCCGCCGCGGCTTCAACTCTAAGCTCCCGCATGAAGTCATGCTCCTTTGATCTTGACCGAATCCCAATTCAGCACGAAAGTATCTGTTGCTTTCTCACCGGCCTCGACACGACGCCCAACCGAAGAATATGAGCATAGCTATTGTATCAGGAATATCTCCGATTGTTTTTCCTTGCTGAGCGCTGCTTGAATGCCAAACCGTAGATATCTAATGTAGTCAGGCTGTTATCTTATCACTTTTGTCATTAGAGGACAAAAATTTGAAAGGCACGGCTTTCCGGGTGACGTTATTCAGAGATCAGTCGATGCCGACAATCACTGATCAGGCATGGCCTAAAACCACGGCAACGGCCTCCACTTGGGGGGGGGGGGGGGGGCGAATAGCACACCCATACATGGCACTTAGAAATTCGCCACCGCGATTTCTGGAACGCATATGGAATCGTTGGTTGGAATATCGAGCCAGATTTGGGCGGTGTATGGGCCGCCTGAACTCGAGCATGCCATCCAGTCATACAGGACAGCGCATATTAACCGCAACTGTAATCGGCTGGCACTGCTGGCATTGTTTGGTCGGAACACTGGGCCGGAACTGGTCGTTGTTACGTTGCCAGACAAATTAATGCCATGGCCGCTAAGCGCACAGTTAGAGAATGGGCATGATCATTGTTTCATTATGACTTGCCAGGTAGTAAGTCAATCAAATAGGCGTGAAGCCTTTCACAGACTAAAAATGGCAGATGCCAACAAAACCTTGCATAGGCGGGGGCAGGTTATGACTGACATGAATGCTGTTAACATATGTGATTACAACATTCGTCATGTTTTTCGCTGAACGCACCCGACGGACTAACACATTGCTTATATCTCCGGTCAGACAGGTGGCAAAAATGAAACTAACTGATTCGTAGGGAGGAAATATTGTGTTAACCATGTCCCAAGCTCTCAGATGTGAACATGTTTAAATGCTTCATGATGGAGTGATCGTAAACGGCTTAATTCACACAATTTTACAGGAAAATATTGTGAAAATCAAGCACTACCATGTGGTAAGATCGGCGGCCAGGGACATCGGCGTTTCTGAGTGCCACCGAAGCTTCTCATGCCTGTAAGATGAACGCTATCATCTGCCCGCAATGTGAGGGTCCGGCGCCGGCCGTCCTCCCCGTCCGGACGGTGGAGAAACGGCACAGGGTTATGTGGAGTTTGTGCAGCCGCCTGGGCTCGCTGTGCGGTACCCGAACCAGTCTCACGGCGGCTGTTCCGCCCGGTCACGTGACCGCCGCGGACCTGGCGGCAGAGCTCAGCGGCCAGCGCGCCGGCGTCCCTCCCACACCGCCTCCATCACGGCCAGCGCGGTGTTCCTCCTATGCCACCCCTACCACGGCCAGCGCGCTGGCGTCCCTCCCACACCGCCTCCATCACGGCCAGTGCGGTGTTCCTCCCATGTCACCCCTACCACGGCCAGCGCGCCGGCGTCCCTCCCACACCGCCTCCATCACGGCCAGTGCGGTGTTCCTCCTATGTCACCCCTACCACGGCCAACGCGCCGGCGTCCCTCCCACACCGCCTCCATCACGGCCAGCGCGGTGTTCCTCCAATGCCACCCCTACCACGGCCAGCGCGCCGGCACCCATCCCACACCCTCCTCGCCATCTCCATCACGGCCAGCGCGCCGGCGTCCCTCCCACACCACCTCCACCACGGCCAGCGCGGTGTTCCCCCAATGCCACCCCTACCACGGCCAGCGCGCCGGCACCCATCCCACACCCTCCTCACCATCTCCACTATGGCCTGCGCGCCGGCGTCCCTCCCACACCATCTTCACCACGGCCAACGCGCCGGCGTCCCTCCCACACCATCTCCACCACGGCCAGCGCGCCGGCGTCCCCCCAAACTACCTCGGCAAGTGATCGTTCTTGAGAACGTCGGGCTTTCAGCGTCCCCTTACCCGCGGCGCTAAACTCTCAGCAGTAATGCGTAATGCCGCGCCGGGCCATGGCTACGGCGCTTACTTCCGACAGAAGCTTTGCGTTTGATGCAGCACCAAAACGTGTCCTACGCCGTCCAGCACGGCTCGGCTGATCATAAATTCGACGGTCTTTTTGTTTACAGTAACCAGGTGCAACGGCGAAACCCGTCCGCGCTGCACATGCATTGGGAACGAGCTGGAGTGTCTAACCAACAGGCACAACCGGCCATGTGGCGATAAAATGCCCGAAGTTTTACCAAAAAGCCGCGCATTTCGTCATGAACGACGGACAACGAGCGAAGAAAAATGAACGACGAACTTTGCAACAAAGATTGCAAGAGCCAGCTCGACGCCTTATCATTGGTGACTGTCATGTATCTGTGTGGAAACCGAATTCCAACCGAAGTTCGTTGGAAATATCCGCTTTGTGATGCACACTGCACTCAAAGGAGGTGTTCGTCAATGACAGTCGAGTGGCGCGCCATGATCTTACTTACATCAGATTGTGACGTCTTCCACGCTTTCGGTGCGTACTTCCCAATCTTGTTCTCTGTGTCCACAAACACATAATCGCCGTCTGAAAAATAAGTTAAACGGATGAGTCTTCTGGAACCATAGCTCCACACCACATCAAGCTACCACTCCGATCCACGTGTCCATACGGTGGGGGAGAGCAGGCCACTGTCTTCAAGCGGATCCGGCTTGTGTCCAGACACCGCTCCGGGGGTCATTACACCAGTCCCAGTGGCGCTGACGCCAGCCACCTGCGCCGACCCGACGCCGCCACAGGCACACCTACGGCACCCACGTGTCCACACGGTGGGGGAGAGTAGGCCGCTGTCTTCACGTGGATCCGGCTCGTCTCCAGATACCGCTCCGCGAGCGATCACACCAGTCCCAGTGGCGCTGACGCCAGCCACCTGCGCCGGCCCGGCGCCACAAATCGCAGTAACCCAAAGGTGATAAAATGCACTAACTTTGTACAGACAGAGACAGGTAAAGTTTTGTGTGGCTAAAATCTAAGCAAATCCAACTAAAAATATTTCGTCCTGGAGAAAAATGTAGTGTTTATCTGCACAAGGCTAGTGCATCCTATGACCTGTGATCTATTGAAATCTGTTCGGTCACAGTGTGAGAAATGTGTGTCATGTGATCACGTGTGTGCTGGAGAGCAAAACGCGCTGGCAACTCTGGCTAGCATCTGGTGTCCATTAGATACTGGAATATTTTATTCTGTGGACAAGGCGCTGGACCAAAAGTTCACACAAAAATGCAGCTTAACGAATATCAGGTATATGGTTATTGTAAGGGGGTCGTCTCAACTCACTATAATACTTACCATGCCCCACATCTCACAGCACTATAAAATCTTAGAGCCAAAGATAAATCCACAAACTGGATACTCTTCAAAGCACAGATAATTAAATGCAGCACTGACAATGAATTTCAATTACTCGGGTTTTGAGATAAGTTCGGCCTGGCCGCGACAGGGCGGCAGCGCCGCCGGCCGGCGACTTCGGAACGAGCACCAGAAAACCTACTGCGCGTCACCAATCGCGGGGAGGCATGCAACGGTGCGGCCCCAGCCGCCTCTTCTAAATCCCAGCAACGGGCACGATCCTGGCACGAGGTGCCGCACAGCAATGTGACCGCACACAGCTTACCGAGCGAACAGGCCCTCGTGCTGCAATGACCTGATGCCTGCACCATTCACAGCTCAACACCTGCGAGGTCAACAGACCATGGGGAACGGTTGGCGGCGAGTTCGAAAGACACCAGTCAGTGCCCATGGCTCGCCGGGTGAAGATCGTCGCAGGTTACTGTGGCGATGTTATGTTGCTGTTGCGTGACATCAGCGGAGTACGTAAGAAGTGGTCCCGTTCCGATTCAACGTGAATGGCCACATCCCAGGGACACCGCCCTCCCGCTGTGCCGTGCGTCTCGGTCTCGAATGGTCCCAATTCGCACACGACTCCTCGTTGCATGGGGGATGACGCGTAGCGGCTGACGGTGGTCGGATGACATGTGCCACAGGACGGGGAGCGAAGAGAATCCTCAAAAGGTCAGGGTAAGCCTGAAGTGTCGCACATTTGTCCAAACTCTACCACAATCTGTTGGAAGCGGTGAAGTGTAGTTCAAAATGCATCAGCCAAGACAAGTCAGGCCATTCTTGTGAGCGAATGGGCGTATCTTAATTGCACAGGAATTGGGCTCGCGCGTCCAATGTGATGCATACCCGGACTCGAGTCTCCACTGCCATTTGCTCACGAGCAGTGGAAGGCGAGACAAAAGGACAGCCCCCGCACTAGGCTAGGTCGACCTCCATTATACAAACTACAACACCAGTAACTCGTTACAAATATTATTTGTGGCGAACGCGTCTACCTCGAGAGGCCTCTCCTCTGTTGACGTTAGGTGGCCCTACCATATCCGCTTCAGGCGGCCCTGCCCTGTCTAGCCTGGGGCGGCCCCTCCTCTGTCGGTGTTAGGTGCCCCTGCTCCGTCGGCCTCGGTAGCCCCTCCTCTGTCGGTGTTAGGTGGCCCTGCTCCGTCGGCCTCGGTAGCCCCTCCTCTGTCGGTGTTAGGTGGCCCTGCTCCGTCGGCCTCGGTAGCCCCTCCTCTGTCGGCGTTAGGTGGCCCTACCCTGTCGGCGTTGGGTGGCCCTACCCTGTGGGCGTCACGTAGCCTCTTCTCTGTCGGCGTCAGGTGGCCGCGCCCTGCCAGCGTCACGTGGTCCTGCCCTGTTTGCGGTAAGTGGCCCTGCCCTGTCGGCCTCGGATGGCCCTGCCCTGCCAGCGTCAGGTGGCCCTGCCCTGTTCGCGGTAAGTGGCCCTACCCTGTCGGCCTCGGGTGGCCCTGCCCTGTTCGCGGCAGGTGGCCCTACCCTGTCGGCCTCGGGGGGCCGTGCCCTGCCAGCGTCAGGTGGCCCTGCCCTGTCGGCAGCCCCACCGACCGGGACTGATCCTCCGTCACGCCAGAGTGCCGCCCGCAGCCGCCCGTGACGGCACAGGTGACAGGTGGTGCGCCTCATTTGGCCGCGCGCATCTGTCATCCGAGCCACTCTGAGAGAGTACCTCACCTACCGTGGCGCGGTTGGGCGGCCGCGACACAAGAGCCGCCCGACGCGCAGCGCACGCGCGGGCGGCGCCGCTGACCCCGGCGGCAGACGTTTGGGTGACGGTGCACTGACCAGCCGGCCGGCGAGCTCACCTAAGATCACGGCGAGTCCGAACAGGTCCGGGTCCTGCATGCCCTGGAGACACATCTGCTCGGCTACGGATGAATACAGCTCACACAGCTTGCACTTCGGCTGGAACAGACAGGCCCACGGGGATTAGACGGGCGCATTATCGCACGGTAGACTCAAATGCAGAGGGACACAGAGTAACTAGTTGCACAGGAGCAGCGTTCCGTGCGGAGGCCTGAAACGCAGGTGGTTCGGGCGGCAGGACAGGCTGGCGTGTTCGTTCGTCAGCCAGGCGGCGGGCTAGCTGACGCGTGACCGATCCTCGGTCTCAGCGCAGAGTCGGTCGGCCGTGTGATGCGTCCAGCCATGAACACCTGGCCCCGCTGCCTGCGCTCGCACACGCCCGCGCCCGGCACCCGGTGCCCGGCGGCCGGCGGTCTGGCGTAGCGTTGCGGCGGTTCAAGCCGCTGCGGCGCCGGCGCTACCCCCACCGCGCTGACGTGGCCGGCGCCGGCAGCAGACAGGGCTACTGGCCGAGTCTTCGCCAGCACCTACAGTGGCCCACGCGTTTGTTTGACCGGGCACATATCACTGGTTAAATGATGAAGCCGTGCCTGCGTACAATACTGACTTGGGAAGCACAGGGAAGGCGTACGGCGTATCAGGTCAGCCCCAGTGGCCTTGTGATTGTTGACAACCCCGCGGACAGTCGCAACGCGCAGGGAAGTGACGGCACGCAGACTGGTCTGCACTGTAGACAAATGTCTCGTCGGTGACTGACGAAACATGCCTGCTGGTTCTGATTTGTGGCTGATGCTGCCTTTCATGACTCACGCCTTTCATTTCGAATCGATTCACATTCAGACTCGCGAGGCATGTGATTGGTTCCTACTCTGACTCCGAGAAACACAGCACAACAGAGTCATTAATTCGAGTCTTCTCCGATTCCAATTCGCGTATATGTGTTGCGCTTACGGAATTGATTTGGATGGAGCTGAATCTGGTGGAAAGAGCTCGGCATACATAAGGTTTTAAGGCTACGTAAAAGTTTTCGTTGGACGTGCATTTGATCGATAAGAGAAAAACGTATCAATTAGCTTTACTTTTAATCACAGATTTCAGCCAACACGCATCGCTCAACACCAACTAAGTCTTACATAGATTTCAAAGGAATCGATTCCACCTTGGATAAAAGAATATTTGGTCGATTTCGGAGTCGGCTCCAACTTAAGCCGGCGTTCAAGCCCCGCTCTCTGCCAACGAACCAATTTGGTGGCAATCTGGATCCTTACCCAGTGTCACCGGGCTGACAAGGGCTGACCAGACGGGGGCGACGCCGCGTGACGGCGGTGACCCCAGGCCAGGTCACTGAGCGTGTGTACCCGGGCTAACTGGGGCTGACCGGACCCGGCAGCGCCGCGTGACGGCGGTGAACCCAGCACACGTCACTGAGTGTGTGTGTCCGGGCCGACTAGGGT